AGTATATAAGATTTATATAGAGATTTTATATATATATATATATATGAAATGTACATATCTGCAACCTGATAAGTGACTTGATGAGACTTTTGTCTGGATGTAGATATGAATTGTCATCCCTAGGTAAACTTCAAGGTTCCCATGTTTCCATGGCTATTTTAATCAGACTCAGCTATCTTAGACTTTTTTTTTTTTTAAAGTGTTTATATTTGCTTGGTGGCTTTCTGCTTTTCCTTTCATCCGATTACAATTGCTGTTGAGATCAGCAGAAATGTTGTAGACAATTTCCCTCAGACCTGCCCTGAGGAAACAAAATATTTTTTCCCAAGGTCCTCCACACAGAATTTCTTCTCTGCAAATAGGTTGGCACTTGATGGCCAAGCAGAGCACTGAAGTAAATTTTCAATATTTTGTGACCTCATTTGTTGTCAATCAAATGTTATTAATCAGCCAGATCAGATTTGATATTGCAGAGGTACTAATGGCAACAAGTAGGATGAAGTGGGGGTAGGAAGCAATGCAATTAAATTGATGGTACTCAGATAAACCGATTTTTCTAAAGCTGCCTATCTGGTGTACACTATTTACTTTCTTTTTTCTGCCTTTTATTTTTTTAAACTGATTTATCCAACTCTTTCACCTAGTTTTGCTGGGATGGCAGAATCTCATCATGGAAGGCATCAAAGCAAATAACAAGAAATTAGAATTATTCACTTTTTGTGATTGCTCTCTGAAACCCACAGGTGATAAAGAGTCTCTGTGGGACTGAGTCCTGTCCCATGGAGTCTATTCACAATGCCTTTGGATATGAATTACTTATGGCTGGTGCATGTTGGCATTAGTTCTGGATGGCTAAACACACATTCAGGCTGAAACATCTTGAACACCAGGAGAAAATGTTTGCGCCCGTGTGATTTTGACCTAGAGTTACACATCACTTTGAAGGCTGTCTGTATCCCTGGTGTATCTGTGCTTTTCTTAATGCGTCCTCTGGGGTGGAAAGTTGGGTGGCTCAGGTCTCCTGGGCCTGGAGAGACAGGACAAGTAGAATTGCTGAGCTGAGGGTGAACTGCCTCTGCCCACCAGTCTGTTAACTGACACTTGGTATGCACGTGGGGACTTGCAGGTGGCTGAAAATCCTTTGGTCCACAGCTCGTACTGATATGCTGTAGATCAAAGGTGACTTTTCAAGAGCAAAGAAAAGGAAACGATGGTACCAGGTCTCGAAACAGGTTCTTTTGAGGTCTTGTCTTCATTTGTGGTTTTCCCAAGCTTGTTACTTTGAGACCTAGAAGGTGGTGTCTGTCCCTAAGAGCCCATCAATTTGGTCCAAAGTCTGTAGAGGATGAGTAAAATGCCTGTCTTCCTTGAATTTTGTCTCTTCAGTGGAACAGGAAAGTAATTTTAATCTCACATTTTTCTAAGTTGTCCTTTCTTTTTGGAGCAGACAAGGGAAAAATCCTCAGTTTGAACACACTCAGAAGTCAGAGCGTTTGGGTTCAGACATGGCTTTTGCTGCACGTGCCTGCATATGAATTGAGGATAATTGATCTCTGGGGTCTTGTTTGGAGTCCACTTTTGTCATTCTGATGTGGGTAATGTTGGAGGATGTTTTGAAAGTAGGATTCTGTTTTCTCCTCCTCCTGTCTGTAGTTAGGCTTGCACCTACATGCTCGAGCAATTCTCAGGACTGAAGTGGTTCACTGGTTTGGTTTCACGCCGAACAAGAAAAGTCGGGTACGTGTGCTGGGGGATAACGCTATACTTGTAGCTAGTTAATTAAAATCCAGTTCACAGTTGTACATCTAGTTCAATCCCTCTCCCCCTTGGATGGTTACTTGGCAGCAAGGATGTACCAAAATCTTTAATGTCAAAACCAGATGTTCGTATTAACTTTAAGAGTTTTCCACAATGTAAGTTCTGTCACTCTCAGCATCCACTTTGTGGGCAGGTCTGAGATATCTCTAGGAGTTACTTGAGCTTGACTGCAAGTTATTATCTAGCATGCTAGCCAACATTTTTTTCAATCTGTTTGGAAGTTTCTCCTCCCTTTTAAAAAATCTGTTATACTTACTTTATGGAAAATCCTGTTACAAGAACTTTGGTTTTACATTTTTTATTATTTAGGACAGAAAAATTGTTGCAGACCCAGGAACTTGTCATTTTGCCTGAGAATCAGGCAGTTCTATATCAACATGGACTCTTTCTGGTGAAACCATTTTGAATATCCTTGCCATGAAATATTTTACAGCGTGGCCAAAGTAACTAGACAAGGCGAGGCTGAGCTTGTCAAAACAGTGATTGCGCAGCGACTCCAACCCTGCTGCGAGACCTCTGACCCATTCACTTTCTGATTGCGGTCGTTAAAGCATTCCCCCTTCTTGGATCCTCAGCAGGCAGAACATTCTCCTCAGCCTCGTGGACCCTTCATTTTTACTTAACCAGATTTTAAAATTGAATTCTCGTCAGCATGTAAAATATGCAGACTGACTCAGTAATCCAGCAACCTCCTTGGGCAAATGCAATAGTGACAGCTACTTCAGGTCCAGCGGAACTCTGCCTAGTTGTCAGCTTCTTCTGTGGGAACTGAGCTCAAGGACAGGGACTCCTGTGGCACATTTTGTGTCGCCTCCTCCAAAGAATGTATTAGAGATTAAATTTTTACACCATTAGTACAGTACAGCTTCCCTTTAGAAAAATCATTTTGCATTATTGAGCGTGTATGTAGAACTTATTTGAAGGCAATCATATTTCCAAAGATTACACCATAACATAGATGGATCTGAAACACCGTCTGAAGAGGAAATAGAAGCATTTAGTTTTAAGATGTTTGTTGGACAAAGTGCTTTGCTTCAAGGTCCCAGAGCTTCCGCATGACCAGTGGACAATTTACTGATTTTATTGTGTGAGTAAAACTTGCATCTGATCAAATAAATTTGAAGCCTAAGCTAAAGATTCAGCTGCAAATTCAAATGATGAATGTAGAAATCTAATTGCAGGTGGCAAGCTGTTTCAAGCCCGTGTCTCATGCTTCTTGCATCATTTGTGTGAGCCCACTGGATTATTTAAAGGGATTTTTTTTTTCCGTTTTTGAAGACGTGAAGCATATTCATACGTTCTGCTAAGCCTCTGAATGACCACTTGTATCAAGTGGCATGAGTTTGGTCATTCAGTTTTTTGAGGTGGTCTCCCATACATTGTCATGCTCTTTACTTTGTGTAGCATTTCTGATAAATGGAGCTCTAAGATCTTCATCCTAACTTTTCTGGCTTTTCATGGGTCAGTGCATTCCCACTGGCCACTGTTTCAGCAATACAGAAAAGCTCTTTTTATCGCTGTGTAAGGGCACCTCTTTAGGCAAAACCTGCAGAATTTATAGCCATTTACAGCTGAAACTGTTGGATCTTGATCACTAGCAGGTAGAATCCTCCCTTCTTTCTTGCAGCTGTTTCTAGCTATGTTAGTGCAATGTGCCCAGCTGAACAGATAAGAATTGGCACAGATAAGAATTTCCCTTCAGGAGTCCAAAATGGGCAGTTTGCAGTGCAGCAGAAGGAGCACTTTCCAAAAAACCGAAAAAGCTGTCATTCACCACCATGCAGAGAGTGGATGCTAAAAATGGGGGAAGTCTGTGAGCATGTTGTTCCCTTTAATCTGTCTAGCTCTTTACCTTCCCTTGCAAGGTCTGTTGTTTGTCCCTTGGTCTAGTGACCTCCATTCATGGCCAGAAATAGTACTTTTCTTCATCTGTCTATGTCCTCCCATGCTTTTACCAGTGTCTTGGCTCCTGCTGACTCTCTCCATTCTCCTTAGGTTACCCAAACCTCCACCCTTCTGCAAACACATAGTCTTGCCACAGTTTTGCATCCTTCCCACACCGCAGGCTTGAGGCTGGATTCACATCTGTTGTCCAAATGCTTTTTGGAGGGTGGGTTGGGTGTCTTTTTTACAATAGGGTTGGATGGTGAAAGGGCCTCTGATTTTGGTTTACAAACTCAGCCAGTCAGCAATGAGACTGTCTCTGATCAAAAAGCTGCATTAGTTGCCATTCAGGACCACTTTCTCAAATTGTCACTGGGTTTATATTGCAATAACAGATAATAGACTGTCCCTAGATAAACCTAGGACCATAATTTTACATTTGGGTTATGGCCAAAATCAGTCTGTCGCTTTGCTGGTGCTCAAAATCCCAAAGCAACCTCACTGATTCTAGTGGAGTTAACTATTTCCTCCAGTGCAGGGACATGTCACTGCAAATCCAGACTAGTCAATCAGGAACATTCTACTCTTGCTACTTGAAGATATCCTCATCAGATCCAGCACGCGGCTTCATACCCACCGTTCTGTTCTTGCTGTGCGATTTATTTTTACCACTGGCTTAAATTCACTGTGTTTTCCCACTCAGGCTGCTCCAAAGTAACGTGCATCAGTTTGACCCGCGAAGCCTCCATCAAGCTGTCTCCCTTGCATGGGAAGCAGATCTCCATTCGCTACCTGGACATGACAGACTGCTTCGTTCTGGAGGATGAAGGACTGCACACCATCGCCGCCCACTGCACTCAGCTGACCCACCTGTACCTGCGCCGCTGCGTCCGCATCACCGACGAGGGTCTCCGCTACCTGATGATTTACTGCACGTCCATTAAGGAACTGAGCGTGAGCGACTGTCGCTTCGTCAGCGACTTTGGCCTGCGGGAGATTGCCAAGCTGGAGTCGCGCCTGCGATATCTGAGCATCGCTCACTGCGGCCGCATCACGGACGTGGGCATCCGTTACATCGCCAAGTACTGCAGCAAGCTGCGCTACCTCAACGCGCGGGGCTGCGAGGGCATCACGGACCACGGTGTGGAGTACCTCGCCAAAAATTGCACAAAACTCAAATCGCTAGATATCGGCAAGTGCCCTCTGGTCTCAGACACCGGCCTAGAGTTTCTAGCCCTCAACTGCTTCAACCTGAAGCGCCTGAGCCTGAAATCATGTGAGAGCATCACTGGGCAGGGCCTGCAGATTGTAGCTGCCAACTGTTTCGATCTGCAGATGTTGAATGTGCAGGACTGCGATGTCTCTGTGGACGCTCTGCGATTCGTTAAACGACATTGCAAGCGCTGTATTATAGAGCACACCAACCCTGCCTTCTTCTGAAAGGACACCCCACGCCAGTCGTTACAATGAAGTACTAAAAACACTGATGTATAAACACACGCTCCCATATTCAGTAATGCTGTCTTTTCTATAGCTCACGGGAGTCGACTTTTCTTGTATGTTGTGGATGAGGGGGGTTTCTAGAGGACTATTTTGTTTGCTTTTTATATGATCACTTTTTAAGGTGTGGTGGGTCTCCATGGAGAGGCTGCATTAATGCAAAAGCAATGAGTGCTCACATCCCCAGTGGGGTGTCGTTTCCATAACAGCCGTGGTCTTCTCCCAGGCTACAGTAGCTACCTCCAAAGGAAATAGCACATAATCCCTCCCTTGGAAATGCTACTAAGCTGTGTCAAATACATCTGAATTCCAGCTGCGCTCACGAAGCTGACTATGCAATATGTGTCTGTGTTCCCCGACTTCTTCCAATATAGCTGATAAAGTATCCCCTTGTCTCTAAGAAGTTTCTTTTTGGTAGCCATCCGTTGTAATCCCTCAGGAAATACTGGGTAATATTCTTAAACATACTTGACTGAGGCAGAGTAAGACCTGCTGACTGTTGCTGAGCACTCTGCTGAGTGAATCTGGAGATTGTGCCCAAGCATGAATTCTCGTGGAAAGGCCACCTCCAGGTCACTCACACATCATCACTACTTGCCTTCATTTCAAAATCCACCCTCTCCTGCACGTGTAGTACTACCCTTTGGTAGCAGATAGGGACTTCTGGGTCTGATAAGCAGCAACATATTCACCTGAGTGAAGGAAAACAGATGAGAGAGTGGTGGCCTGGAAAAGGGAAGAGCCAGCAAATCAGCCTGAGAAGCTGCTGTAATTCTGCAACGAGCTGAGACAGCACCGTAGTGCACCAGACACACTCTGCGGCTTTGAGGAGCAGCTGGCAGGGGGCAGTCCCACTTGCTGTGCTGCATGGCTGTCCCCAGAAAGTCTGCCTTTGTTCCTTCACTCTGTCTGCTCAGTAGCCGTGGCACCACTGCAGTTGATGCTCCTTGAGCAAACCAGGCACGTGCATTGAGGTAAATTCAGTATGTGCCTTAATACGTGTAGAAGCCCAACCCTTTTCTGTGGCCTTCCAGTTCAAAGGATAGATGGCTGATTTTGAGACTTCAGAGATGTTAGCCTGATGTTAGGTAACTAATACCTGTGGGAACAGAGGGGCTTAGAGTGTTATTCATGTTAGATTTTGATTTCGTGAAACCTTCTGTGCGCTCCCTTAAGCTGGTGGAACAGCTGCTTTTGAACAAGGAATCCAAGTGCCGATGTTGCCCTGTGACACTGGGAGCACCTTCTATGTTCATGGTCACTCTTGTGGGAGCAAGAGTAGTCTGGAGGTGCCCCACCCCCCTGCCTCCTTTCCCAGAGCATGTGGCCATTTCATGGTTACTTTCTTTACAATTTTCTGGCCGCCATCCCTCTGCATTTTCACATGTAATGCTCAGATCCAAAAGCCAGACGTGTTAGGAGTGATGATATTTTCAGGCAGGCCCCCTGCGCCTGACCAACAGGTGAATTCATACATTCAGCTCAAATACTATAAACATCTTGGTAGAGAACATGAGAAAGGAAGCACCGTGTCTGGCTTTCATAAGCAGTAGTTCCATCATCTCCAGACAACACTAATAAAATCATTGATACAAAGTGAAAATCCATATGCTCAAGAAAAATACATCACTGCTGAGGAAATGCTTGTAGCGATGCTCTCTCAAATTGCAGAAAAGCAATGGTTTAGACATGCCCCTGCAGAGGGAACTTGTCCTACTCTGCAAAAATTCCTGTAGCTAATGTATGTTCCTCTAGTTTTGAGTTTCTTAACATACAGGATGTCATCAGCTCTGAACAATAAATCAGATTGTACTAAAGCAAAGAGAACCATGGAAAATTAATTTGTCATTGCTACTACTATTGGTCAGTGGGTAATGGGGAGTGATACCATCCTTTGGCCAGCTAATATCACTTTGGTTTTTCTTTGTTGATTTTTGAAATTAGAGATTCTTCTCCAGCAAGTAGTGCAGTATATTTTATCTGAGCCAGCTGTACTCTCTGTTTATCCGTTATCTCAGAATGGCCCTGAGGAAAGTTAACTGTTATGCCCATTCCTGAGGATGGTTAGATTTTGAGCCATTTGCACTCATGAAATATAAGGCCTCATTAGTAACATTCAACTGTTTATTAAAAAAAAAAGAAAAAGGAAAAAAAAAGAAAAAGCTACATTTCTGGCTATGCTAAATTGAGCGAATAGTGCTACATGGTTTCTAAGGTTTCTGATGTTTAAATTGGCTGTACTGTACAAATCTCACTATAAAGCCTTAATTTGCTACCAAGAAATAAAGCAATATATTGGTAACTGATGAGAATGCATCATCATTTGCACTAGTTGATTAACTTCTGGTGAAAAAGAAAAAATTACATACTTGTAAAACTTCTCTTGAAAGTTCGGTAATGAGCACATCAGGTAGATGGATGACTATATTGAAAAAAAATGCTACAGATTATGGCCTATCTGTCTCTTTAAAATTTGATCTTCCTCATGTGGTTATTCTTGACCCTGAAACATAAGTAAAATAAAAACAGTGTATAAAAAGCACATGTATAAAACTTTCAGGAGGACCTCTACATTGCTTTAAAGGTAGGTTATCATATTTGATGTGAAAAGTGAAATGGAATGAGTGAAAGGGTAGACTATTTACTAGTGCAGTGTTGTCTTCTGAATGCTCTAAAAATCCTACTCTGGGGGGCACTGGTGGAAAATGAATAAAGGTATTTTTTTCTACGGAAAACATTTTCAAGTATATAGTCTTCTCTGATCCAATTTGGCACTCTAGGACTGCAACTTATTTGAAGAAAATTTGAATTCAGGTTATTGATACAGCTTGCCTTTTTGACTTTTAACCTTTTTCCTCTGTCTACTTGTAAAATGAAGTGACTAGGAAAAAAAAAAGTACATGTGGAGCTGAGTTTGCTGGAAAGGTTGCAACGTATGACTGATGTGTATTCATTCCAGTTTGGGGTTGGCAAAGACAATAAATTTCCAGAGAGAAAACATTGTTGATTCTTGAACCATAAAATTCAGGCTCAGGCACTAAGGCTTCTTCTGCTCTGCAATCACATGTGGTGATCTTATCAAAGAAAGCAGCGATGAACCACGTCAGTCAGGCTGGCAGGTTGTTTATGTCTTTGGAGTAACTTGTGTCCTGCAGAGAGAGGTCTCAGAGAGAAAGTGCATCTAAACTATGATGCACTGTGATTATAGTCCAACCTTCGGTTGGGCTTGGTGATCTTAAAGGCCTTTCTCAACCTAAATGATTCTGTGCTTCTATACCCAAAGCTCTGTGTCTAGATATTCAACCTTCTCGTACCCTTGGCTTTCCTAAAAAGTGGAACGATATTCTCCCAGTTAGCAGAATGAGATTGATGTGAAGTGCAACACTTTTACCCTCTTGAGCTATGCTCTCCTGCCTTCCTACAGAAAGCAAAGCAGCTTCTGTTGGACACCTTGGGCTCAGAACCACGGCCTGGATTCTAACCTTCAGCAGTGCCTTACGTGGTTTCTGAAAATTTCTAGCCTTTGAACTGGAAAACTAAAAAGCTAGTAAAAGACCTAATTTTAGCGCTAGGCTTGAAGCAGGTCCAAGCTCTTTTTAAAAGAAATATAGTGACCATTTGGACTGAAGACTGGCTGCTCCGCAGCTGCCGGTGTTAGTTTAAAAGGGGAAAAGTTCTCTGGTGGAATTGGTGCATGGCTCCTCTTCCCCCAGTGTTCCCCAGGAAAGTAACCTGCCCTTGATTTTTTGTAATTTTGTCAATTTAGCTATTCGTGCTGAAACTTCCCATGCTGGGCTTTGAAAATGTTAGTTGAAATGGTTCAGCTGGTTCTGTAAATAAAGCTAGGAGGAAATGTCATTTTGCTCATGTTAAACTCCTGGTGACCTTTCTTTTGAAAATGGTTCATTGCTCTTCATCTCCTCTAAGGCCTTCAGAGTGAAAGTGTGAGCCTTGCCAGGAGGTCAGCTTTGGGACAAGGATGTGTCTTACTGATCTCTCAGTTAGAATTCACCCAAATTTAGCTACACTACGTATCTTTTAACACCTCCAACTTCGTGAGAAAAGGGGCGCTCTCCGATCTTTTGGAGCTTGTAGTCTGGCAGGACTGAGATTTGGCAAAGCTACAAGGCATTTATCACTCTGGCAGCGTGAAGGAGGAAATTATCTGAATTATATGGAAGCTGACTGGAAAGTCAGGGCAGGGTTCAAAGGTGGGGTTTTGAAAACTGGGACAAGAAGAAGGATGAAGAAAATTTCCTGGGTGAGGGGGACCGGAACTGAAATGAGAAGAGATTAAATGATTTTCAGCAAAGAAACTGGAGCTTGGATTAAGGGGGAGGCTTTTATGATTTGTTGAGCAAGGGAATTGGGCCAGAGAAAAGCGTAAGTGCTGAAGAATTAAGTTCGGGGCAGCAGCAGAAACATGAAGAAAATTAACTGAATTTCACGTACACTCCCTCAGCAAAGGCTCTGAGAAAGGCTGACAAACTGTTCTGGTGAGGATGCCTCAAATTTGAAACAGCCTTTCAAAAATGAGATAGTGACTTTGCTTATAATGTGTTCCAATATCTGTGCTTTTTTTTATATGTGCTTTGTGAAGCCAGAAAATCTTTACAGGCGGAACTTCTGCCTTTGCCAGCAAAGGTACGCAGAGGCCTGAGACAATGTCAGCCTTGATGTCTTCTTGTTCCTGCCTGTCCGCCTTTGTGCGAGGACGTCTACCAAGAAGGAGGCGAGGCAGGTCTATAACATCTGTTCTTCCTTTGGCATTGTATTTCAGCAACACTGGCTGCTCAGCTTTGTTGAGGAGCAGGCATCAGCATGGAGCCAAATTCATGCCCTTCTGACGACTGTTAAAGGGCATAATAATAATAGGTTCAAGTTACTGCCAGGGAATAGACATCAGAATTCAAACTTAACAAAAACTCATTTAACTGAAC